TTCAAGTGCAGCAGAAGATCCAGGAACTCTCAAGGCTGCAAATGTGAGTGGCCAGGGGAGGCTGCACTTCATTGCTGATGGATAGCCCAAGCCCCCCCCCCGGTCATGTGGACTCCCCATCGCCATCACTCCTATCCTATCTGGATTCAACATGAACTCCAATCCTCCACTCAAGCCAGGTGGTGGGAAAAGGGAGAATATGGAGTCCTGATCATCTAAAAAAAGAAAGAACTAGGTGTCATATTGAAGGCACCCCACTCCAAGTCTCTGTATGATCTTGCCTAGCAGCTTCATGAACATTTTGAACAGGAGGGGTGAAAAGATGGAGTCCTGGGGGCTCCTACCAGGAAGCTCTGACAGGGATGATGCGCTCTTAAGTGCTACCTTCCTGACACCTCCCTACTAGGAACAAGTAAGATCTATTGTAACAAAACCCCCAGTTTTCCTTTTCTTTTTTTGAAAAAGCATTCCCTCCCCTTCCTCAAGTATTTCTGACTTTTTCTCTCCCTCTCTATTCCCTATAGATAAGTATAAGTGACCTCAGATAAGCTTTAAACACTTTTATTTTGGTAGCAAGTTTTTGGTTTTGGATATCCACTGTTTTATACTGTATAATTTTAGGTTTGTATTAATTTTTACTGTTGTATATTGTATCATTATCATTCTTGTATTGATTTTTATTGTTTCATATGGATGTTGTATGGTTTAGGCCTGTGTTTAAGTGAACCAAAGTCATGTCAAGTTTCCATTTTATATGTCAAGCCTCCATCTTGTGTCCTCTGCCTGGGCATCCCATGTTGCAACAATATTATTCATTGTACCCTTCCCATGTAAATTGGTTCCCCGATGAATGGGAATGATTGAAATACAATGGTAGCAGGCCTCTACTGAATGGCCTGTAACGACTGGGCCATCACCTTGCATTTATTCATCCAGGAACCACAGCCCTCACCCAGGAACAGAGACAAGAACTCAGCATTTGAAAGACAAAAGACCTCACAGAACCAGCAACTCTCACCATTACAGACTCCTGAAACTGCACATCCCTGCATAGAGCACACATGCTTAGTACACCAGGGGCTGACTCTTGTCTGGGCATGCCTCCTGTCACTAGGGTCACACAAGGTCTGTCCCTGTAAAAAGGGGCAGTGAAGACAGACCCAGTGGGACACCCTCTCCATCTGGACCATCACTATGCCATACTACCTATCCACTCAGGCCCTGCCAGTGACATATCCTCTGGACAAGGACTCCTTTCCAGCCTGGATAGGTAGATATTACCTACACACCACCTTCTACAATTTGGACTCTCTCTCTCCTTGTGGACTTCAGCCCCTGCACCAAGCCTCTCTAACCCCTGCTGCCATTGTGGGTGTGTGTTGGTGCAAGGGAACCAATAAGACATTGTGTCACCATCTCCCTGTTCAATAAAACCACTGTCATTTGCAACCCCCAGTTGGGTCATGTTTTACTAAATCCCAGCCCCTTCCTTATCTTAAATTCCAGCCTCATTTTCTCTCTCTCAGCTCTAGCCCCCACCCCTCTCCACTAGTTTCCCCATCTCTCAATTCCTACTGCCTTTTCCCTGTGACTTTCTGCTGCCTTTCTCTGCTTTCCTGTTGCCCCTGCTGCCTTTCAGTATCTCCTGCTACTTCTCCTGTGATTTTTTTTCTGCTGTCCGTCTCTCTGTTTTTCAGGCTTCCCCCACACCTTCTGTACTCATCCCCCTCAGCTTCCCAGCTCCTCATGGCTGTCCTGCAGTTTTCTCCAGCAGCTGGAGCGTTTCTCCAACTCCCAGCACCTACTGTCACTCCCTGCAACTTCTCTAGCTTCCCAGGAGCCATCCTCTGTCTCCCCACATCCAGAGCCCCTCTTTAACACTCACACTTTCCCTTAGTCCTATTTTCCCTCTCCCCACCTACCTTTTCAGCTCCCCTGTAGCTCTGGCTCCAGTCCCAGCCTCAGCCTCTGTGCTAGCTTCGCTTCCCTGTTCTGCAGGCTTTGGGCATTGTCTTTTAATCAATTAAGATCAATTAACCTAAAGTTACCCCCAAGCCTCAGTTCTTCAGTTCAGGCCCCTGTAGTCCACTGGTTCTAATCCTGGTCCTGGTAACTTTCACTCCCTACACTTAGGAACTCACCTGTGTGTAGGTGGGTGGTATGTGTGTGAAATAGTGAATACACACACACACACACACACACACACACACACACACACATATATATATATATATATATATATATACACACACACACACACACACACACATACATATATAGATATCATTGTGTGTGGGGTATATGAATTAGTAATCCATGTATGTGTATCGGATGTGCAGGTGTTAGTAACTAGTAACTGATTCAGTCTAAATTTGGTGTGTGTAGTGTGTATGTGCTTGAATTGGTGATAAGTATGCATGTGCCTAGGCTGGTTTGAATGTGTATGTGCCTGAGCTGGTAGTGTCCATGTGTATGCACCTAACTGATCTGTGTGTTTGTATGTGTGCACTTGTGTCAACCTCCTGTCTAACAGCATAATATTGGGATCCTGAGAGTTGGCCTGACCTCTCAGGGCAACACTATTAAGAGTAGTCCCAGAAATACCCACTTGGACATATAAATGCTTTATCACCACAGGATGGTCAACTGCATCTTCAGGTGAAGATCATTGACCAAGGACACAAATGCAATCTCAGTGCTATCCAAGGCAAATGCTAGACTAATAACAGGAATCCAACAGCATCCAGAAGTACTTAAGAGTTGTCAGATAACCACCTGAACTTCCCCAAAATGGGAAGGGTGATAGCTTGCTGAGGAGTCAGCATCAAGTGTTGGTTTCTCAAGTAGGAAGTTGTATAGTTGCAAGCAAAAGATGATTTGGTATCTCTCTCTCCCAAAGGGAAGCACAGATAACCCCTGCCAGTAACAGCCCTGTTCATCCCTGACTGGCTTTTACAAGGACACAGACCAAGTCTACAGTTGGCTGTCCACATCTTGCCAGGCATATTCTCTGTGTCACTGGGCAACAGTAACTGAAACTCATTCATATGAACTGGACAAGACAGAACCTTCCCAACCCCAAACTTTGACTCTGCAGCACATATTGTGGTCCCTGGCTAGGCCAAACACAGGGAATTTTGTCTATAAAATAAGCAGCAAACATATCCTTGTAGACTGCAGAAGACTGAAATTCTGAATAGAGACAGCCAAAATAAACCAGATTAACCAAAATTAACTACCTGGAACTGTTGTACTGGATGACACTTGGCATATATGATGGTACTGGAGGGAAAAAAAAAGGTCTTTCACTGCTGCTATTGTCATACCGTAAGGCCTTTAAAAAGAATCTATGCTGAAGTTCATTGGTTTTGGCAGAGGTAGAGGCATTCACCTACTCATTTCTGTTTTAACTGGCTCAGGGGAAACCTGTACTACTGCTGCTGCTACTACTACAGGGGAAATGGACACCTGCATGCCACTGTCTGTGGCCAAGGCCAGTGCGCTATTCCACAAATTGATCAGGTCAGCAACAGAGTAGCTGTCAAGGTCGATAGGCATGGTCCCCAGAGTTTTGCAATCCTACTAGCTCCCTGAGGGCAGACCGTCTTAGAACAGATATCTGTGCTGCTAGAAGGTAGCAGTCCAACAATGACAGATAAGTGGGGTCTACCCCCTGATAAATGGGGTCTGTTTCCTGGTAGGTACAAAACATTAGGTCCAATGTGGGCCTCATCTCATGTGTTGGCTCAGTTACTACCTGGGATAGCCGCATGGTATGTGTGGAGGGGATGAAGTCCTGCTCCAGCACTGAAGAGCTGGCCCTAGCATGATGTTGAAGCTACCCAAGACCATAATTTGGGTGCAGATTTCTTTATGCTCACAAGGCTTTACTAGCCTTGCTAGCCCTCCCAGATTGGCAGGGAGTCTACCAGAATTGGCAATGATCTCCCAGTGACAACTGAAAGTGATCTGGGAGATGGATATTGTGAATGGGTTGGAGAGTACAATTAATGACATTAAATCATGTTGGAAAAAAAAAAATCTCCCGGAATAGCTTGAGTCAGAGTAGGCAACCCTAGGCTTCACAGCTTTTGCTTCAACTCTGCTCCATGAAGCCTTCAAACTCAGTATTTTTTAGTTTATTTTATTAAGCAGCAGACACTTCATTTGCACTAGAAGCCATGCAGTGAGAATGAACTAGAAGGCACAGATTTAGTTTTTAACTTAATTTTTTAAACAATCTATTTATTAGTATTAGTGTCTTATTACTTAATGAACAATGGCTTCCATCATCTTCACTGAATTGCCCACATTGCTCATTAAGTTTTTGTTTCTATTGGAGTTGGTATATTTCCCATGAAATTCAATACTCCAACGATAAGAATTACTTCTAATAAAAAAATCAAAAACCCTCAGCCTCTGATAGGCTTTGTCTATTATAATTATTGAGTTTGCACTGAATTATGTTGAGAGACAGACTGACCAACTGTTCTGGGTAATACGCAAGTTCATGCATGTCAGCCACCATAAATAAGTAAATTGCAAATCATATTACTAGTGAAGCGATAAAGTTTTTGTTTATACTGGTATAAGAAAAGCATGTTTAACTATAACACAAGTCTCTACATTCTTTTTAATTCCTTTGCTTTCATACATACCTCAAATGCTTTATTTCTACATCTCTAAACCACAAATGTGACCAGGCAGACTAAAAAAAGCCCACACACTTCTAGATACTATCAAAACTGAATGATAACAGCCAACATAAAAACCTATTGCTACTGATCCTGGACATGAATGACTTGCAATTCAGGCATGCTATGACTTCTGCAAAAATCAAAGGAGCATTCCTAAGTCACATACATAATGCTGTCCTCATAATAAAGGTTTGGGACCAAATTCTGTTCTCAATTCCAGAAGTATAAGAGCCCATCTCTGCTGATATCTACTGACTAAACAATTCTTTCTAATCCTATTTTGAAAAGCACATTGAAGCCAAATGAGAATGTTTCATCCATCATTTAATTAAAAGTTCACGCCAGAACACCACACAGTGTAAGTTTCTTTAAAATGACCACATACAGTGATGAGACAAGACAGTACTAATAGTAAAGTGTAAAGTGCCTCCAATTAAATAAGATTATTTGCACTGATTACAAGAAACATAGCACCTTAATTTATTTAACTAAGTTCCATACATAATTTAAACTCTGTTAGGTACCAAACATTTGCATATAAATCGCAATAAAAACAGACATTCCAAAAACTGTACTAATTAAAATATTAAAAAAGTAGCAAAATTATCTGGACCAGTACAGCTCATTTAATTTCCTCATAGTCATTGTTTCAGCATACTGTTGTGCAAAGTCCTTTGTAATCTAGCTATGTTGGCATCCAGGGCTGCTAACCCATTTTTAAAGTCCTCTTCATCTCGTGAAGTAAATGTTGAGAAGGAAGACACACTCCATTCAGACTTCCCCGCCATACAATCAAAAACAGAAAAACTAGAGTCGGCAGATATTTCACTGCCTGTTTTCTGAAAATTTTCTTTGTTGTGTGGCATAGGAGCGTACGGGTGTTTGTCAGACTGAGGTCTGTCTGGCTCATCTGTAAACCCTTTGGCAGCTCCAACCATTATTTCTTTTGGCCATATTTGGAGCCGATCTCCTTCCAGCCTGGTTGAATTCCTCGTGGCCTCAGATGCATTTTCTGCAGTCTTTTTCAAATCGTAACCACCGGTGAACTTATCAAAAATCTTTGCATCATCCAAACTCCCAAAGTCGTTCTGCTTCTTAAAGTCAGAGAGCCCACAGCTGTAGTCCAACTTCTTGGAAGCTGCATTCACTTGGTGCTGGGTACAAATTCTTTTTTCAGTTACTAATGGCTGTTTTTTAGAGGCACTGCTGGTCAAAGGAATATAAATAGTTTCATCCACTTTGTGCTCTTCCTCTATTAAAGTCCCAGAATCACTAATAGTTTCACCATCTTCTTTTGATAGGGGAGGTAGAATCCTTGGGGCTGGTATTTCCTCTCCAAAGACTGTAGTTTTTTTAGGGGACCCATCAGGAGAAAGCTTTTCATGGGCTAGCCGTAGCATTTCCAATTCTCCAATTTTATGTGAAAACTGAGGTTCCTCATTTGTCCAAACACAATCAGTTTCTAACTTTTTAAGGTAACTCATTATCGAAGTACTCACAGGGAAGGGGTTGGTTTGCATCTGTTTCTCATAGTCTTCCAGAAGAGACTTTGTAAGACCTTTACCTGGTCGGTGTCTCACATTGTCTACAGTGAGGTCAGAGAGAAGCTTGGCCATGCTGCCCTGCAAAGTTCTGTGGAGAGCAATTTATTAAATTAGTCATTTGTACTTAATGGATCTTTTCACAGACATTTTATACTAAAATGTTTAAAATTTTAACAGATCGCACTGACCAGTTACTACTAATTTGCATTTTCTCTACAACAGCACAAGACTGATACAAGCATTAACTTATTCAAACTCCACTAAACTCCAGTCTTCGGTTCAGTGAAACCTGTCTACCAAGTGAGTAATGAGAAGAACAAAGAGTGTAGGTCTTGAGATTAATTTCCTGCTTGCCGGGGTGAATGGATCAGAAATAAATAGCTTTCTGGCAAGAGAATGTCACCTTTCTGTAAAGCGTAAGATACAGCATCTCATTAATGTTCAATGTTTTTGTTAAGGTGTGGGATCTGCTTTTGAGCTTGGAAAAAGTGGAAAGAAGTCCTTCTTAAGCTTTGTCTAGAAAATAAAATATTTAAATATAGACATACACAAGTTAGTCACTGTTACTCCTCATTTTCTGCCTTCTGTGCCAACAGACAGGAAGATTTGCAATATGCTCACACGTAATAAGATATTACGATATCACCACCTGGCGGCCAATAGTAAAGAGTCACAGAAAAGCATGTTCTCTAGAAGTTCAATAATAAAAGTCTATGATTTAGACTAGCGGTTCCCAACACAGTGCTCACGGGCGCGCCCCCCCAGATTTAGGTGCCTGCACGCATTTTCACAATCAGTAAAAATCATTATTCCAACAAAAAATGCTGTCATTGCCGACTGCTCAGAACAGCAACACTTCAAATTTTTTTCACAGGCTGTGCACAACACAGCTGCCAAACTGGGACTGTCAGTCTGACTGACGCAGCGATGGAGTGGTGCTTACTACTCCCTCTCCAAACAAAACCATGAATTTACCTTGAGTCGGCCATGAGAGACAGACTGGCTGAATTCATATTGGTGCCCACTTTTAAATTCCAATGCGCCCTTGGGCACAAATGTTGGGAACCCCTGATTTAGACACAGTGACTGCTTCTTTTTCAGGTCTGGGGAAGGCTGTATGAAGCCAAAAAACCTGTCCCTTATCTCTCCTGACTATGCATGTGGGTCCAATAAAAAGATATTACTTCACCTCACAAATCTTACTTCTTACAAGTCTGACACAATTATCAGTAAAGGTTGACATATGCTATATTGGGCAAATACTCTGAATTTTGGACAACCAGAATCAACACGCCAGTGCACGTAAGTAAACAGCATTGTCCAAAAAGTCATTGATTATATTTTAGTCATTCCCCCAACTGATGGGATAGGGTAAGCACTCATTCTACTTCACTTCCTGAAGGGAGGAAGTCTCTGCCAGGTTCTTTTTAAGGACATTTTTTTCCTACTTTCTCCCTTTTCACAAGAGAAAGGAGACTTTTCTTGTTGAACAGGCTGCAGAACTAGTTCCTAAACCTTGCATATTTCAAGGAATTAACTCCAGCTGGTCAGGACCATGGCCTCCCCTAGTTCTGTGTCTTTGGGGCCCGCCATGCATATAGCAGGTGCCCTATTAACCTAGATCTGCCATGGTAGCTAGAAGCCAATCCTGGCTAGTGCTGGTTAGACAGCTTTTCTTGCTGTTGTTAGTATCTTGTTGTACTCTATCTTATTGTCTCAGAAACCATGCCAACAGCCCTTTTAAAGGGCCCCTGTTAGAAGCCTGGAAAATGAAAGCTGACAAAATCATAGGAAACATCAGAAAGAACTTCTTCACAGTTAGGGTGGCCAAAATCTGGTAAACTTTTCTGCTCTTTTACTACTGTTACTTCATTTAGCTGCATATCTTTGGATTGAAAAAAGGCTACACACTTAGCGCACTGGAGTGTGCACTTACTGTAAAACAATCTCTGCTCAGTAAGGACACAGCACTGAGCACAGCACTGTCAGTTGTGTGGTATGAGCAACCCCAAACCCGAGTAGCTCCCTTCATTTTGATGGTGTCTTACAGTAACTGCTTTTAGTAACCTTGAAAATGAAGAGAGTTGCTAATACCATGGCACTGACAGCACACAATGTAGCAAATCCCCAAATGACTAGTCTTCAAGGCTTTCAGCAGCTTCAGTAGTAATAGCTGCAAGAAACCTTGAAAATTAGGAGACAGGAGTTAGTCGGTTTCATGTCACTTAGTTTCGTTTCGTCAGGGATGATCCTGCCTTGAGCTGGACTCATGAGGTCCCTTCTAGCTCTACTTTCATAGATTCATAGATGCTAGGGTCAGAAAGGACCTCGAAGGATCATCAAGTCCACCCCCCTACCAGTGGCAGGAGAAAGTGCTGGGGTCATGTGACCCCAGCCAGGTGCTTGCCCAGTCTCCTCTTGAAGTCCTCCAGGGTAGGGGAGAGCACCACCTCCCTTGGAGCCCATTCCAGATTCTGGCCACCCTAACTGTGAAGAAGTTCTTTCTGATGTTTCCTATGATTTTGTCAGCTTTCATTTTCCAGGCTTCTAACAGGGGCCCTTTAAAAGGCACTTCCTCTCTATGGTTTCTGAGACAATAAGATGGAGTACAACAAGATACTAAGTTGATAGGTCTGTTATGATACAGTTAGCCAGAGTACAATTAAGTTACAAAGTAGACTGGGGGGGCTCAAAACTGCTATGCACTTAAGTAGTTTGTGCATTTAACAGCTACTCAAATAACCTGAGTGTGTTGCAACATAAGCAGTAGGCAACAATCTGGGACTACCATTTTATTCTGCAGTTAAGTGAATTATACGCACACCCCACATCAGTATACAAGTGGAGCACACCATAAACCTTGCCAGTTTTATTGGTATCTTCATGCAGGTACAGCCCCTCCTGTGCAACTCATCCTGTTCACTGGTTGCGTACTTTGAGCCCTATACATTCCTGACTCAGAGACCTGCCTTTTTTATTGGGCAGACAGTATCAGGGGGCCCCCTTGACAGTGATTTCCAACTACTATCCCAACACACAAAAACACATTTACAAAATAACTTAAAAACCTATTAATAGGATCCGAGTACAAAGTAGGGAAGCCTGTAGGATTACTTTTCAATAACCTTAAGTAAGGAAGAAATGGCAAAGGGACAAACTGTGGCCAAAATTACCTGGTCAGTTCACGCAGTCTGTTCACTTCTGCATCCCGCTGACGTAACGTTATACCCAAGATCTGATTTTCTCTCTCTGAGGCTTCCAATTTAAACTGGAAGTTCTTCACATTTCCCAATGCCTCATCCACTTCTAAAATTGAAAGTAGAATTTTGTTTAATCATTGGGGGGGGGTTCCATTTAAAAGCACTGTGTTACAACTGAGTTCCAAACATACCAATTTTGAGCTTTGTAGCTTGAATATCAAACTGCTGTTTATTTTCAAGCAAGTCTTTATCTTTCTCTTGAATAATTTTTGCAAACTGCTTGTTTTCTTCTTTCTGGCTTTCTATTATTTTAAGGAGTTCTTCATTTTTATTCTGAAGTGATTCGAGGCCTTTCAGAGATTCCTTCAGTTGACTCTGGAGTGTTGTATTCAGGGATTGTAGGGAAACTACTACAGGAAATAAAAAGACGCAGCCATTTTTTTAAAAGTTTCATTTCAATGCCCCAAAGTGACATGATTTGTAACTATTAAAATTTAAGAGAGGATCCAGATTTTTAAGAAATTATAAAGAATAAATGATTACAGCAATTCTATTACAAAGCAACAATCTCATGTAAAATGTAAGCATAAATCAAATTTTAGCGACGCAATTCTTGTTCTCTACCATCTGATGCTTGACAATTTTTTATTTTTCCATTAGCCCCAAATCTTTAAAGAATATAATCCTGTTGAGATAGCAGCCATTAAAGACACTGTTGTTGATTTCCACTAAAAATCTTTTCTTATGATGCAGGATATGTATTTACAATAATGTATTTAAAGGACAAATTTACTCCCTTTTAAAGCATACTGCTACAACAGGCTTGTCCAACATGTGGCCCGCCAAGCAATTTTCTCTGGCCTGAGGTCCCTTGCTCAGGACAGGTGAGGAGTCCTGGTGCCTGCCCCACGCCCCATGGTGGTGGTGGCGGGGCAGCGGCGAGGCGAGGCGAGGCTGGCAGAGCCCTTTTCCTGGCCGGTGCTGACCTGGCTGGGTTCGTCCCATCCGGAGCAGCATGTGGCTGAAGCAGCTTCCCACAAGCTGCTGGGGATGGGAGGAGCCCAGTCGGGTCTGCACCAGCCACCAGAAGCGGCAGTGAAGCTGTGTGCCGCTCAGGATGGGATGAGCCTGGCCGGAGCGGCAGGGGCTCAGCTGCATTTTCCCCCTTCTAGTACTGGTCAGTCCTGAGCGGGACACAGCTCCACCATCGCTTCTGCTGGCCGGTGCTGACCTGGCTGGCCTCCTCCTGTCCCCAGCAGCACGTGGGAGGCCTGCTTCAGCTGCATGCTGCTTTTCCTGGCCGGTGCCGACCCAGCTAGGCCCATCCCATCCAGGGCAGCATGTGGCTGAAGCTGGCTTCCCACATGCTGCTGGGGATGACCGGCTGGGTTGGCACTGGCCAGCAGAAGCAGCGGTGGAGCCTCCTGCCTTTTGGGACCAGCTGGCGCAGGTAGGGGGAAAATGCAGCAGCACGTGGGGAAGCTACCGCTTGACAGGGGATGGGATGGGCTGGCAGGGCTGCACCAGGGAGTGAAAGCTGTGGCTGAGCCCCCGCAGCTGTGTTGTATGCTCGTTTAAGACTGAACAATATGCTCAAGAATAGAGCATGAATGATCTGGGCTCCGAAGTAAATTTGGAACAGGTAAAAATCTTTGTAAAAATATTGTCCAGTGTTTGGATTGTGTTTGCTTCTGTTTCTCTTTGTGTGGGACTGGGGGTTCAACTTGTTAAAGATGTGTTACTAACAAGTTATTAATTCAATAAAAGTAGATCTTCTTGAAGATTATTCTCAAAAATACCCATATTTTGTTGCTTTGATTAGTTTCCACTCCGGCTGATATCTTTCCCACATTTGATCTGTCAACTTGCATTATGCTTCTTTCATTCATTGAGAAGCGAGTAGAAGCAAAAGTGTTTCTTTTAGTCAAATGTTTGGTATTATTTCATTGTTGCTTTATATTGTTTTTATTTTGGATTTTAAACTACATTTCCAGACCCATTTCATTGTCACTTCCTGCAGCTTCATTGGTGTCAAAGGTTACGTGACATCACTTCCTGATGTGATACCACTTCCTGTGAGGTCTTTGAATATGGTTTGCCAGCCCACTAGGTGACAAAAAGTTCATGATCTGGCCCCACATTCAAAAAGGTTGGACACCCCTGTGCTACAGGGTGCAATGAAAACAGGAGAAGCCCTACAAAAGACTAGGGACAATATCCCTGTACATGGCTTGATACAGCCTAAACTTGTAAGTCTGTACGAACATGCTTCCCCCTGTCACAAAGAAAGAATGTATAGTGATGTTTCATATTCTCAAAGTACTGTTGAATCAATTATTTACTTCTGTACCGGTGCTTTGCTTTTAAGTACAGTACTAAACTTCAAATTTTACAAGTAACATTATTTCTCTTCTCAAGATACTGGAATATTCTGACTGCTGTTCAAGTAACATTACCCACCATTATACTAACTGGGAAGAGATTAACTGTTTTAAAGTCACATACTGTCAATTTAGGGTTTGTTTGGTTTTTTTGCCCAGCTCCCCAAAAAGATAAGAGGAAGACTGCATTTCTCCTTTAAGGTCAGCTGTAAGCTCAGATGCCTGGTGCATAAAGTAGTTCAAAACTCCTAGTAAGATACCTTTGCTTACAGAAATATAATAGGCACTTGCATTCTATGCACGCCAGTGGTCTGGTAAATCATCTATCTATCATCCCCAACAGGACCCTAATGTCTGTGACAGACCCCCCAATAACTTCAGCAGAGCTCTAAATAGGCATAACAACCCATTTATGTGGGTCTGAGTGCAAGATTCAGACCATAGCCTCTTTCCTGAGTGCCACTATCAGCCAAAGGTGAAAAGAAAAAGAAAGATTAGCTCTTTACAGATACCATTTTCAACATATTTTAAACAAAATCTTTATATGTATTCCCCGAACATTATCCAAGGCCCACTAGTACTTGCATTCAAAGTGGCAATCCTGGCTGGATTCCTTCTCAGCTCGCTCTCGTTCCCTGAGCTGCTGGTTCAGTATTCTTACTCTCCTAAATGCAAATTGTGGAGAAAGTCCAAGTACAGAACAAGTTCAAAAGAAACTGTATTTCAGAATGGGTTTGTATGCAACAAATTTGCTAACTTAATTAAAAAAGGAAACCAACAATACATTATTAGACTTAGACAGGAAAAACGTTTTAATGAATCAAGTTCTCAAACAAGGCACGTGTACCTTTCTTTACACCAAATGAGCCATTTTCAAACCTGGCAACCTCACTCCAGTTTGACAGGGGAGAAGAGGTTCATTTGTATTTCTTCTGAAGTAAGTTATTTTCAGCATTCAAGAGTAAGTTGTCTAAGACCTTATCACACCTTTACATACTAGTATAACTATTTAGCACTATATTTTGAAGGTGGATTGCTTCTTGGAATAAAGCTTATTCAACAAAGAGAATCCTTAAAAATTATGCTCCTCCTTTTGTTTTCCCCCAAAAGATAACATAACAGGATTCTAAGTTCTCAAATATAGGTAAAAAAAATGAGCATTAAAACTTGCAGGCTACTACTAACTAGATGCAGAAACTAGCTGTTTGCATGCCTGCTTCTTTCAAACTGATTTTCAACTACAACTGGGTTCCCCATTTCTGAAATTCCACCCCTTATACTCAAGCTCAAACACACAAAAAAAAAATTCACAGCTTACACCAAGCATCCTCCAGAACATCTAGCCTATCTCTATTAAAATTAACTTGCGATGAGAGCCTCTGCTCATGTCTGAATGATGTGAAGTTAAACTTTATGATGTTTTATACAGGCAGTACATACCTAGCTGTAAAATGAATACATGAAATCGGAGACCCAAGTGGGTTAAGCACCATATTTTCTTGTATAGAACATACTTTTCCCCAAAAAAATCAGCTGCTAGGAATTTTTGTGGGGCAGAGGGCACACTGTAAGTGAGGAAATATGGTAATAGTAGTTTCTGCCCTATGAGCACAAGGGGGCTCCCTACCTGCTGTTACTCAGTTACAACTACTTAGTATTACTTTCAAGGAAAGATCTTTTTACTTAATTCTGCCTTTCAAATACAAAGTGCTTATCTTTTTGGGTGCGTGCTGTATGTGAGAAAATACAGTAATTGCTCTCTGGCTTTACCTCAAGTCCAAGGCTGAGATCTGAGTCATGGTTCTTGTCCTGTTCTGTGCTTTCAACTAAAAGATACACACATGCATGTGGCACCATGAAGCACTATGCAGAAATTACCAGAGGTAGCTCAGGTATCAGAAATAATTTAGTTCTATTAGCATGGCAGTTCTGCGCAGCAGGGCTACTCAGCCCAGCTGAGCTGCACTAATGCTGCTACACTGTTTCCTAAATTAACTCATTCAGAGATGGCTCGGGCATCTTTGCTTAGCATTACACAGATATGCCGTGTAGACATATTTTAGCAGACTACAATTTCATTTGGAAAAAAAACAGAGGAATAAAAGCATCACTATTCATGTGTAGTAGGATTCTTATTCAAATTGCATGAAATGAAATAGTGATATATGAGACACCACATAAAGAGTAATAAAATTTGTGCTCAGTTAAATGTAAATAAGTGATTAAAAAAAAATATATAATACAGCAACCTATACATGTATAAACAAAAGCCCTTCATATGAATGCCAGGTGGACAAGAATGACATGAGCCTGGAATTCCACAGAACTATTCTACAATGTACAGTTAAGAACTGTGAAGTTAATTAGCAACATCACACACGGTTTTGAACTTGGCTACTAACCTCCGCAACTGGGCATTTTCACTTCTGAGAGGCTGTATAGCAAGTGCTATTTCAGCTTGTACATTTGTACTTCCAACTACTGCTGGCAGCAATGACACGCAGCCATCAATTTCACTTATCAGCCTCAACATTTCTGAATCATCTTTAAGAAAAAAGTAACATGAATAGCAATATGCACTACGCATTTACACACATTTATTTCTGCAGTGTCTGAATGCAAACTCTACTGCCCTCCAACATTAGCATATCATTAAATTGCCCAGCACCATTTGCACTTCAAGAACTATATATGCTCCAGATCCCTCAAATTACAGCATTAACCTTCTTTTTGAGCCCTCCATGGGACTTCCTCCACATTCTGATCACACTATTCTCTGCTCCCTTCTCAAGGAAAATGCTTTAATGTCTATAGATTAAAAATACTCTAGTTTTTCCATTGTTGTCCAAGATGTTAAACTCACATTTAACTTCTTCACACCAAAGCCTATAGCTCCTTTACAGACAGTGCTTATAAAAAAATCATTCTGAATTGTAATTTTGTAACAACTGAAATTCAGTAGTCAATCCTGCATTAGTATTGGTATATTATGGATTTCTAACAGTTCACCCCCACCCACATACCATAGCACACAGGGTTATAAATATGTACTGATGAAACAATCTTTACCTTGATCTGCCACCAGTGCCTTGAGCTCTCCCAAAAGATACTTTACTGTTTTAACTTTCTGGGCTGTTTTTTCTGGGCTTGCTTTTTTAGGTTTGAAAACTTTCTTCTTAAAACTTGTCTGACAGCTGGTATCTCTTACTGGTGCTATATCCAGTATGTTCAAGTCCTCTTCTTCACTGGTGGTGCCCTCACTGTATTCTGCAGCAGTTTCCTCTTCTCTGGGATCCAAGTTTTGGGATGGTGCTGGACCAAGATTCTGGTGGTTCTCATCACCCTTGTTATTTTCTGCCTCATGTGGCTGTAACAGAGTCAGGTGAGCTTGTATGCATCTTATCAAGTCTGCCTCCTTTGCTCGTTGTTCCTGGTTTCCTTGGCTTGGCAACATCTCGTTACCAGATGAGGGAAGGAACAGAGGTGCTGGGGGATTACTTGACATGGCTGGAGGTACACAAGGCATCATCCCAGGACCAGTGGTGACAGACTGCACCTGGGCTGTAGGAGCAGCTGCAGAAACTCCTGGGAAAAACACAGTTCCTCCTATCTGTGATACACACTGGTTGCAACCATCAGGAGGAAGACCCTAAGCAAAAATATATACTAATTAAACAAACAAAAAAAAATGTAGCGGCCTGCTTTCTTTTAATGCTTAAAAGCTAATGTGATCTTGTTCACTTTTGGGCTATTTTTATATTGCAAGTAATAAGTGGCAAATCTATTCAGCCTGCACAGTCTAACCTTCCACTGTGCTCAGGAGTAATTAAAAGGCAAACCGAGTTAAGGTCACTAAAGACTTGTTGACTTGCAGTGCAAGTTCTCAAGAATGTACCCACCTCTCCCCACAGCTCAGAAGTGTGTTAAGGCAGCAAATATTCTTTGAAAGCAAGTAGGGCTCACTTTTAAAAATCACAACAAAAGAGGAGCTGGTATGAGAGTTACCCATGTTATTACACAATAACCTGGAAGTTAAAGCCTCTTCACCCAGGCAGAGGGAGGCCTGAATGAGTTATAGGCTCTCTCAAACCAGGGCTTGAATTCCCTTAATTTCCCATCTCTCAGGACAGTATCCTAACCACAACATTACAGGCTAGACAGTGTGAGCGCATGCCCAAAACCTTTTGCTGAGCTTCAGCCACTGTGGCCAAAACATAAGATTCATGAGGTCAAGAGGGAACCTGACTTCATAAGCCTGTGGTCAGGATGCTCAGCTGAGAAGGGGGAAAACTTTTTATCCAGTTCCTTCTCCTTGAAGTGGTTGTGGATTGTATATTAAATTCTCAGTGGATGCATGTGTGCGTGCACACACATATACCCACTTCTGCAGGTACCTGAGGAACTTTCAGGTCAAAAAGGATGGTGTATAAGGCAGTCCTTGACTTGCCACATTTCACACTTACAATGTTGATAAGCGGATACCCTGTTTCAACTTTCTGAACTTTACAATGCTTGATTCGATGCCACACCATGCCAGCGAACAAGTTCACTGCATCACCCACCTCCCTGGAGAACACCTGTCCAAACTTCCTTGGACACTTTCTTTAAGAAAGCAGACAAGACTCCAGAAAACTTGCAGCCTGAGAAGACTCCAGCCAAGAGCCCTTCAAAAAGTCCGGCAAAGTCACCTGAAAGAAGTCCTTCCAATCCATATGATTGCTATTTGCAATATAAATACATCAACGTAGCTATATTACTCATTTATAATTGAGTACAAAATTCTGGGTTATTTTTGGTGAAAATAGGGTATTGGGCCTGGGTTCAGAAACGAATCCGCCATTTATAACATTGTTTCCTATGGGAAAAATTGGTTCCAAGTTGCAATGTTTCGACTTAAGACGTGGGTTTCAGGAACCAATTGTGTCGTAAGTCTGAGGACTGCCTGTATAGCGAATTTAGACACCTGCAGAGTTAGACAACTACTGCCGAAGGATTTTTTGGATTGCAATTTTGGACTTAAGGACTTAAGTCAATTTTTGGATCTAGTCATTCATTATAGAATTCACTATACAAACATACAAGTCTCAGCCAGCAGAAGTGAGCTATGCCCTTTACATTTTTTCTTGGTATCTAAAGGAGACGTACTACATTAAGTAGCAATGCTTGCAACCATGTTCTTTGCACAACACCTTTATATCATTGTTTTCTCCCCTTTCTTTCTCTCTCTCCTGCAAGAGGTTCATCTCCTATTTTCCTCTCAATCCTTTTAGCATAACCTTCAAAGGAAATCACCCCCTACAGACTTTATCAATTTTCTTAATTGAAATAATACATTTAGCTGCAAAACAATTTTTGAGTCTATGCAGGACTTTAGGCGATTTTTAGCTTACCAGTGAACCTGATCATCTAATTTAATTTTTTTTTTTTTATTAGTAACACCACTAGAGCTATACTTTCACTCCAGTGGATTTAGTGAGCCACACATTGCAGCTATTTTTTCCTTATGAAAACATTCCAGTTAACATCTAAAAAGCATATACATTTAGTACAAATAGAAAAAAAAAAATCATAGAATGAAACAGGTGACAACATGAACTTAAAATCTTTGTTTATAATTTAAAACAAATGTACTTACAGACTGAATAGTCAAAGGATTGGCTGAATGTTGTGGGGACAGAGCTGGTGTTGAGGTAGGTAAGCGATAATTAAAAGCTGTAACATTTTGATATCCTGGAACAAAAAGTATTGTTAAATGTTAGGGTAATTTTTGGTGAAAACAAATGCAAGTAAAAAACAAAGAGTTGTCTAGTTATAAGGACAAATTCATACTAACCAGGATCTGACATGGGACAAGGAGGTACTGCAGAAATTCCATTATAGCTCTGTGAAGTCTGACCCGTTATTAGAGCCATTTGAGTTTGCACATGCTCACACAGTTTTTGATGCATCACAGGAGAGGGCTGACTGAAAGGCACATGAATTGGCTGAACAGACTGATTTTGTACTCTGCTGGAAAGTTCTCCCTCTTTTTCAGCAGGTCTGGCACTTGAGGTGAGTTTCCTATTCAATCCTGGCACTATGAAATAAAAGCTGAAAGTTATTTTTCTTTTACTTCTCTACAAAACCCAATTGTTTACATGTACCCAGTACAGCTCCCCAAGTAAAAGAAATACAGTTTATGATCTCGAGTTTCAGAGATGTAAACATCTAACCAATTACAAAAAAAAAAAAGGGAAAAAATTGAATCCTACTGGACTTTTAGGCTCCTAATGAAGCAATAGACCACAGCACTTGAAGTAGTCTTACTGTAAAACCAAGGCTTTGGGTCTATGTTTTTATCAACTATCATAGGCAGAGCCATCTCTAGAGTACAGCAAATTGGGGTGAATGGCCCAGGACCCAAGCTTTGGGGGGGGCCCCGTGCAGCTGGGCAGAGTGGTTGTGGCCCCTCCCACAGGGCCCACCTGGAGCTGGTGGCTCAGCCCCGTGCTGCAGAAGAAGCACGGAGACCCCCCAACCTTTGTGCAAGTCCCATGGCCCTATCCAGTGTTAAGGGGGCCCCACACAGGCCGATCTGTCCCAGCCCCTGCACCCCCCTAGGGTCAGCTCTGATCATAGGTTTGTGATAGCTATGATCATCAAAACTGTGCTCAACTGTCTCTTTACCCCACAAACAATTAGATGGCTTCACAAGCTACAGTTCCACATTCCATTCTTTATTTTTAGAGTCCCATTAATGAAATTTAAGTTACAAAACAAACAACACATCCCCAGAAGTGACACTGGAAACAAACAAACCTGTGATACCTTGTAAATATGTTTACCTGATTACATGCTGGGTGGTTTGTTTGGTTTTTTTTGTTTTTGTTTTTTTTACAGGCTACTGTCTCAATCAGTGCACAGAATGGACAATGTTCACTGACTGAGGAGCCAGTCAGTATTTTTTTATCCGTATTACACAATGAGGATTATTTACAACACAAAAAAAAACAAAACAAAAAAAAACTAGAAAAAAATCAAACTAGAATAAAAGCCGTTATTTGGCATTTTCCTAACTGGAATACCTATTAACTGGAATTCAATCCGGCTGGACATAAGGCGAGGGGAAAACTCATATGCGGCAGCCACCACCGCCACCTTGCACTGCTGCCACTCCATATCCGGCCCCCCTGCCACATCCAGTCGAAAAACAGCCGGTCTCAGGTAACTGGGATTTTAGATACCTGGCACCCCCATTCCTCACTCATGCCAGATACCAGGGCTTTTACTGTATAAAGTTTAAAAATTATTCATCATCCCAAGGGGCTCACTGTGATACCCTCTAGTATCTTAGGACCATCCCAAAAAAAGCACTTATGCGTTGGAATCCAGGAACTGAAGAACAAATCATAAAACCCCCACTTAATCACTCACGTGCCTGAGGGCAGAGACAATGAATCCTGCAATGTATGTCACTGCCTATAGGAAAGGGGCATAGGCCTAATTCCTCTCCTTTCTTAATGGCTACCTTAGGTGGATCTTTGCTTATGCTGCTGCATGTCCCTTTTATGCACCAAACTCTTCCCGTGCATTGTGTTCAGAGACAAGGGGGGATGCCACCAGGAGCAAGGCACGTACAGGCTCCAAGAGTTGCTGAACACTGTAGCACCAGAATCCTTTTGTGAATCTAGCTCTCAATTCTCATTCAAAAGAACAATCATTCATAAAATTATCGTCTGGTGCATACGGTGAAGGATACTATTTCAATTCATTGATTTAAATACAATCTACAAAAATTAGTGGAACTTAGTTGTTTATATTACTAAACTAGCATTTAAAAACAAGATAGGAAGTTGCAGATTATTATAACAAAGTTAATTAACTCTGTGGATAAGTTAGCGATCAACAACCATTTAAAGAAGGAAATCAAACTTTTAGGTGAAGGGCAAAGGAAGAAAAATGGCTTACCAACTTCTTTATGCACAGGGGCTGCAAAAAGATTCTTCTTTAGTCCTTTCCTTTTTGAAGTATTTCCTCTGGTAACTAATGGTCTAGAAGTAGCCTTAACAGAAGTTGCTCTCCCTGGTTTCTGACATACAGTTTCTTTTCCTAAAATTTAGTTGAAACAAAGGCCATTCAACAAAACCAATTAAAACAACGTTACAGAAATTAAGATTTAACTTAATTTATAAAAGGTACCTGTCGCCTCATTTTGCAAGATGCCCTGCAGTAAAGCTGCACAACGATCAAGCCCATTATTTATAGTTGCAACCTACAAAACAAGAGTTACAGTCAAAATATAGGTACTCATTTTTGTCCAACATGCAGGTACAGTACAATGAAACAAAGTTCTATTTTGAGGGCATTGTTCCCCAGGTTAGTCACAGTTAAGATTAATTTACATGTCATCAGTGAAAATATATTACATTTGTTATTGCTTTGCTATAATTGTGTTGCTGCATGAACCTTCATTTAGTGGATTACATGTTTCAAATAATGTCTGTTATGTTCTTACTCGCATTAAAAAGTCCTCAAATACCTGATCCTCCGAGTCAGTCGAGTAGAGAGAATATCCAGAGTCCACATCAGAATGGCATGCTTTTCTTAACCCAATCCTGAAAGAGAGATTCACTTTTTATATCCTCTTAACATATAGAGAGAAAGTATGAATCCCTCCACAGCTCAGTATTTAATATCTTACCTGAAACGCCACACAACCACATTTGCAATGAGCTACACTTTAAGATAAGGGACAAATTCTGCATTGAGATAAGATAATTCAACTCTTGCATATATCAACAGCAAGTCAGAGCAGGATTTGACCTTGATCAAGCAAGTTTACGTGAGATTAGTAATTATGTTCACTAACTTGGTGAATTTAATATGCAAGTGTACCACGGAATTGATGGTGTTGGTTATTAAAGGGGATAATTCTGTATTCCTTCTACAAGCATAAATTCTATTAGATTCAACTGAAGTCTTGTCTGTCTGACAGCTCACAGGGTAAGGAACTTATACTACCTTTCAGCAGAAACTTATTACAGACACATAAAGAATGGTTAACAAACTACTAGGTTGTGATGTATGTGGGTGTTTTAAATGCAGACAGGTGCACTATTAGAAAATGAGAAGTTCTTACTGTTTTCTTCCATTTGTCAGTTTGGCTGTTCCTGTTAGCCTTCCTGACGAAAGAACCTGTAGATTACATAAAAAGTATATTTATAACAAGTTCTTTGATTAATTTTAAAGGAACAGTATCATAGAGGTGTATCAATGAATTAAGCCTGAGATAACATGCTGAAATTAGAGAAAGTGATGCAGCAAGCAACACTATGGGCTCAATTCTCCCATTTATGGATGTGCGGGACCTTCAGCAGCACTCTTTGCAGCTGCAGCACATCCAAAGAGCTTGGTAAGGCTCACGTGTGGCCACATATCAGTGCATTTATGGCCTGATTTTAAGCCATTTGAATCACAAAAAAATCACCAAGAAGTAGGGCTTGAAGGGACCTCCAGAGGTCATCTAGTCCAGAGGTTCCCAACCCTTGGGCCGTGGCCCGGTATCATGCTGTGAGGGGTTGGCTGCTGGTCCACAGGAGGGTTGGCTGCTGGACTGGACGTCTGGAAGTGATTGGCATACTGCGGACTGGCAGCCAACTCAGGATAAAAGAGGGTTGGCTGCTGGTTATACTCAGTATAGAAAAGGGTTGGCCACCAGTCTGTGGTATGTCAGTCACTTCTGGTTTGCAGTCATGTCCGGTCTGCGGTCCAAAAAGGTTGGGAACCACTGATCTAGTCCAACTCCCTGCCAGGGGCAGGATCATCCGTATCCTGAACCATCCTGTACAATTTATCATCTAAACTATTTGTAGTTTACACCCAGACCTGTCACATCTCGTCCAAGCCCCGCCGAGGCAGGATCATCCCTATACAAACCCAGTGCCCAAATTCTTTGCAGAACGACCATCACCCCGGACACAAGACCTCACGCCTGAGCCTGCCCCCGCAGCAAAGTCCTGACTCTACGACATGTCAACATAAGCAAAAGGGGTCCCAAGCACAGGCCCGGCCCAGCCCTGCCCTCGCAGCATTAGTCACATGCGACGTCAGAGCCCAGGTGAGCGCACGGCTGACGTGTGCTCACATCTGACGTCACAACCGAGATCACAGCTGACACCACAACCTAGGTGAGCGCGCAGCTGACGTCACAGCCAAGATAAGCGCACCTCGCGCCCGCGGCAGACCAACCCCCGACAACCCCGGGGCTGCCCAGGAGCCCCCAACCCGCGGTACCTTGTGGCGTGGGGCGCCCGGCCGCGCCATACCCAAGCCCGCAGCCGGAGGGGGCGGGGTTACGCCGCCATTTTGCGACCGGCCCCAACGGCCGCTTTCCGAGCGGCGGCAACCGCGGCGGGAGGGAGGAGGGGGCGGAGTTAGGAAGCTGAGGGCTTGGATTGGTGGAAGCAGAGCGGCGGGAGCCAATAGCAGGAAGAGGGCGTGGCCACACGGGCCCGCCGGGCGCTGCCTGTTCCTCCCACCTTGGCTCAGGCTGGCGGGGTTCGCGGTGCACATGCGCGGTTGGTGGGGTTAGCTCTCAGCGCTGCGGTGGGGGGTGTCCGTGCAGCGGGGTGGTGCAGGCTCCTCGCGGCCTCCTGCTCGGCCTGAGCGCGGGGGGGCACGGCCCGGAGCCCGGGCTTGTTGCCACCCAGGGCAGGCTGAGGACAGGCAGGGCCGGGAGGGGCCTCCCCTAGTGCAGTCCCGCCTGAGGCAGGCGCTCGTGGATCCTCGAGGCTGGGCCGGGGACCTCTGGCGGGAGAGAGTCCATTAGAGAACAACCAAAATGGTTCCCCACCCTCCTTGTGAGATGTCTTTTCCTCCCTTGCTGCAACTTCACACCATTGCTCCTTGTCCTGTCCTCTCCGAGAGCAGTCCAGCTCTGTCCCCTGTCAAACCCCCTGACTGCTATCGAGTCTCCCCTTAGTCTTCTCTTCTGCAGATGAAATAAACCTGGTTCCCTCAACTTCTCATAAATCATGTGCTGCAGCCCCCAAGACATCTTCACTACTGTGGGCCAGACTCTCTTCAACTTGTCTGCGCCCTGAAGTGCATGCGTGTGTCGGTTACGGATTATGGTGCATGGACTGTACGTCAGGAAGGCAAATGCGCGTGACTATTACATTTGAAAAACCCGCTGGACTACTGTATAAATTGGGTTCAACGTCTGATATTTAATGAATGGCCTATCGTTTATCTCCCGGGTGACTCTCAGCAGTTTCTTGGACATTTATCTCTTAATTCCTGGAGACTGCAGGGTAATCCCAGAGGGTAGGCCACCCTCCCGTTGGGCGCAACCTGTGTGGCTCTGCGCCAGGGGCCAGGGGCCTTGTACACAAACCACTAATATATACCAGAATTTGTTGCCTCTGAACATTTTGCTGTCATCTCAACCCGAGGGCCTAGGCTGTTCAGATAAGCTACCAGTGCTACCCCGTGGGATTGGATTTGGAGTGAAATCATAATTGAATATTTCTACAGACACAGTCAGATTGATGGACTAGATACATAGAGGGGGGAGAGGCGTGAGTACCGCTGGTGCAGAGAAAGTTGGGCTGTAGAAGCAGTGCTGACACAATGCTACTGATGCACGGGTTAGGAAAAGGCAGGAGTATAGTTACTGGAGTAATTTTCAACCTCATTGTGCATATGCTTTATGTTTTTAATTACCCAGCCATCCACTATT